CTTCTCTGATGTTTGGCATTATCCTCAGTACATATGCTCTGACTTGGAAAGAATCATTCTGTAAAGATTTAACAGATTCATGATTTGCATATTCAAAATACTTGTCTTATAGTTAAAAAAAATTGAAAACCATTTTACTGTGTATGCCTGTATATACACAAATGCATGTTTTAGACACACATCTCAGCAAATTTTCCAAAGCAATTATACATATTATGTGTTTGTTCTGATAATAGGAGATTAGGCTATTTTTAAAGCTTTCCATTTTATATTATTACTGAGAAAAGCATATATTTTGAAGAGGTATTATATTGGTGGTAAAAAATATATATAAAAGAATTCTTCTACTTTCAAAGGCGTGAGCTTTGCTGTATATTCTTGCCACTGGCCACAGACTCCGAAGTGTTGGATGAAGTGTCAGGAAGCAGTTCAAATCTACCAACTACATTGAGGGAGAAAAGAGGAGGCAGTCGGCTCCTGTGAAGATTTACAGCCTTGAAAACTCCCTGGGGCAGTTCTATTCTGTCCCATACCCTTGAATCAGAATCGACTGGACTGTAGTATGTTTGATTTGAGCTTGAGCATAGACTCAGCTTCCTAATGCAGGACGTTGCTGCTCCCTCCTTATGAATTGCAAGCAATCAGCATTCCTGGTTAGAGAAAAATGGATGTTACAAAATATTAAAGTACGAAAACTAGCACCCGTTGCCATGTAGCTGGCTCTGGTTCATGGCTACCCTATATCTGTCTATCTATCTATCTGTCTGTCTGTCTGTCTGTCTGTCTGTCTATCTGTCTATATCTAATCAGACCTGAACTGTGCACCTTGCTCAATGCACCTTGTTCAGTGTGTACATGAACTTCTGTCCTTTCAGTTAGTAGCTGAGTGCATTAACGACAGCATGCAGGGGCTCCAAAAATAAAAGAGAAATGGTCAAGACCCATATTTCCTTATATGAGGAGAAGAATGGAAATGCTTTTTTTTTTTAAAGAAGAGAGATACTTGGAAAAAGACCAAAGAATCAAAAGTATTTTCTGGGTGACTGAAAGACCCAGAATTTGTCTCTTCGTAGAACGTCTGGCTTCTGTTGACTGTTACGTAATCTCACAGAGGTTTCCCCTTTCATTGTGACTTCCTCTTGAACCTCTGAGAGAAAGATGGCATTACAAGCCCATCCTTCTGAGTGACACGGCATCTGCAATTAGACACTCGTTGTGCTGAAGTTAAGCCTAATCATATTCTCCTGAAATGGACAAGGTCAAATACGTTTCTATTTCATGGACCAAGGAAAAATAGCCCCAGCACTTCCCTTCCTAGGACCCTGCGCTATCCCCACTTACAACATGCTGTCTCTTCGTGACACCAGTGCCACTGCCTGGCACGCCCTCCCTCTTGGGGGAGGTTTGCAACCCTCAGGACAGAGACAACTGTAGGGATACCTTCGTTGCCCATACCACTGTTTCTCAATGTCAGTGCATGTAACAATTAGCCTGGGATTTTATTAATTGCAGATCCTGCTTCTGCAAGTCTGGAGGCCGGTTGAGATCTATGAAGCTCTCAGCTGAAGCAGAACACACCTTGACGAGCAGGAGCCTGGAGTACTTACGCCCTCTCCTGAAGCTGCTATTTGTGCCTGGAGCCTGATACCTAGACACGTCGGATTTCTGACTTTGAAGTGGTTCCAGATGTTGAGAATTTTTGTTTGTTTGTTTATTGATGATTTCATAAAGCCTGCATTATATGTACCCTTGTTCACTTCTCTGGTTTTGTTCCTTAACATTTTCCATTCTTTTTGAGACAGACTAGCACTACCCACTGTAACACCACCTTGTTGACTGCTGAATGACCTGCCTCCTTCCCCCTCCCATCTCAGAAAGCCCCACTAGTGGTTGATTTTAGAATGTACTCTCATGTTCTCAAGATCAGAACATTATAATTAATATTGTTCCTTTTGGTGCTATAACCAGGATATTGCTATTTTTATTTTATTTACCAGGTCGTTATAATCAATGTTGTACCCTGTAATGCTCACTAACTCTAAAGAATAGTAACGTTAATTTTGCTTTCTGCTTCTGTCCACACTTGCTTAAATCCTAGACGAATGATAAATGAGGTTTTTTGCCTTCAAAGATGGACTGCGATGTCCACTTTGCAATCAAAGAATCACTTTTAGATTCTAGCAGTCCAGATATAACCGAATAAAAGCCCTTCTAAATGATCAAGACATGATAGTGGCTTTGAACCTATAACACATCGTACATTTTCGACTTGACTACTTGACGTTTTAAGACTGTATCGGGCTCTTTTACAGCTCAGCTTCCAGGGAGCTTTCCCTAATTTCTTTCCTGTGTAATCACTCAAATAAACGTCCCGTCCCAATGTGCTCCCATGTTATGTGCCCTCAAGTTGCTTCATTCCAACTCATGGTCACGCTGCAGGACGGAGTCGAACTGCCCCGTGGCTTTTCTGAACTGCAAGCTTCATGGAAGCAGAGCTCCAGGTCTGCTCTCTCCTGGAGTAGTTTGTGGCTTTGAAGTGCCGATCTTTTGGAGGGCAGCCTAGCGCTTAACCCTTGTACTGAAGGATCTTCGAGAATTCCCATATTCTAGCTTTCTCATAATCTGTTACAATTATTTGCCTCCCTTCAAAGCAGCAGCGCTGGGAGGAAGAGATTATACATTTTATCTCTATTAACTATTGTCAATCTCAATACCTGACATATCTTGGGTTTTCATTAGATTTTGCTGAATGAATGCAGAAAGGAAGTTGATGTGTTGTGGTTATGCAAAATTATAGTATTATATTTTCTCTCGAGCTTACAATCTAATTGGATAAAGAAAAACTAAACTTAGATAAAATTAAGTACAGGATGAGGTAATATGAACGATGTAAAATGTCAGTATATGATTATTTGCTAATGAGATTATAAAAAACAACTATCCTGAGTTCACACAAGATGTCATTGTGAATTTATTATTATTATTTTGACACCTAAATTTGTTCCATCAAGAATTTGAACTTGTATTGACGTTAATGAAAGTCTGAACTGAAGGGAACCATTTGAGAGAAGAGTCCCTCGGGGGTGCATGTGTAAATGCCCCCCGAGGAGTCGAACTGTTGGCAGTGTGACTCCACCAGAGGGGCCTCATTCGCAGAAGATAGAGGACTGGTGATCGCATTCCTAAAGGTCATGGCCTTTAGGTCATGGTCTACACCCGGGGTTCCGTGAAGCAGAATCCACAGCACACACAGCAGTGAGCAAAGCCTGTAGAGTATCTACTCGCAGTTTGAGGAGCAGCTACGCCGCTAACCAGTTTCCACTGCGTCAGTTCTAAGTCAAAGTGACCTCCTGGGTGTCGGTGGAAGTATGCTGCGGAGGATTACTGATGGTGAATTCATCGGGACTTTTTTCGTTGGAATTGACTTAACAGGGATAGGTTAATTTTTCAGAAGTAGATTTTCAAGTCTTTCCTCTGAGATGCATTTGGGTGGATTCACAATGCTGGTCTTTCACTTAGTAACTCAATGTATGCCCCGCAGGCGCTCGCGATAGACCACTACGACTGAAAATAACTCCCATGAAGCAGGAGATGATAAGGTTGATAATAATGCTGGGCTTGTAGTTCGGCCTCTGCTCGATGGTCCTTCCCTAGATTTGGCCAATAGGATGCTCCGGCAGAAGAGCAAATGCAGTGAGAAAATTTAGGTCCGTGTATTCGTGTTTGAGGTGGCCTAGAAGTGAGTGTGTCCCTAGACTGACAGTTGCAATTTCTTTCAAGCCATTCTACTGCACACAATTCTATTCATTGTTATTTGGACCTAAAGGTAGTTGTAACTCTAGTTACTAGTGCAGGGATACATAGCTAGCTTTTTAATAATTTTTCTAGAGCCCATGCCCATGTATTTTGCCCCTTCTCAAATTATTGACTGCCACTTGTTTTCTACTGGGCCTCCGATACGGTTGTAGAAAGTTGTTTCAAATGAATTTGAAGTCAGGCTTAGGAGCATTTAGGATGAAGATTCACCCCTTAAACATGCTTTGGCTGGCTGCCATATAGCAAACATGATTCTGTGAGGCAGGAGTTCAGTAGAAAACAATTCTGAAACCACATGTGTCTAAAATTCTGTGTTCATATACTTTATATTCTAGCAAAATCAAGAGGATATATATTCATCGTCGTTTAGTTTACTGTTCCTTTTCAACATGATAAAGATATAGTTGTTGGATTACATTCCCCCTTTTTTTATAAGGGTAGATGATCCACAAGTTTTGTCTATTCTCTCTCCTATTGATCTCCCAGCCCGCTGTCCTTCCAGCAGGAAGATACAAGATGAAAAGTCAAGCTTTAGCATCTACAACAGAAGGTTTGGTGGAAAGAAGACGGGGATCCTGAAGGGGAGGGAGACTTCTAAATTCGTCAAGGCTCCATTGCTATAAAGATATTGGTAGTTGCTTTCAGCTTGCCGAACACCCAGAGTTAAAAGTGGACTACAAGTCTTATGTTCATAATGATGGAGAGAAACAAGTCAGAAATATAGATATGTTGCTCTTATTACAAAGCCCTGGTGTGCTGACCTTCTCTCTGTCTTTATATCTTAGATAGTATTACAACCTTTTTTGTAGCACTTACTAAGATCGTTGTTGACTTGTGTGAGCCTAATTTTGTGACCTAGCAAAAATGGAAAATAAATCCCAGCAGGGGAAGACATGTTTCTCGTTTGACCTTGGAATGAAGAGCAAAAGGTGCTGAAGAGACCATAAATTCAATTTGGAATAACGATTTCTTTAAAAAAAAGTTTGTTTGTACTTTCCTCAGTAGATACAGTGAAAATCTGATATGCTTCCTGCTACGTGCTATATATTTTCTCACGCTTGATTAAATTCCTGTTTAGAAGAGAACTGAGAGGAACTAAGTAAAAAAGTTTATATTGAGGTTCCTTCCTATTTTGTTCTTCATTGTATATATTTTTCAAGATGGTTTTTCTTTTTCTTTTTTAGGCTCAGTTTATGAAATGTTTGGAAACGAATGCTGCTTGTCAACAGGAGAAGTGATTAAAATTATTGGTCTCAAAATTAAAAAGATCATAGCTGAAATCTGTGAACACAGGGAAAGTGGTCAGTCTTCACGGTCATTTGAACTGCCTATGAATTTTCCAGGTACAGTACATCACAAAAATTTCAGATCAGTAAAACGATATTGTTAATAATTATGTATCTAATAGTTAGTTATATAACTCTGGACTCCTCATGTGGTGCCAGTGGTTGAGCATTCGGTTGCTAAGTGCAAGTTTGACAAGTTGAATTCTCTCTGCGGTACCTTGGAAGAAACACCTTGGGATCTACTCCCAAAAGAATGTGGCTGTTTAAAACTCTATGGAGCACAATCCTATGCTGACACACATGGGACCCCCTCTGAGTGGGAATGAACCCAACAGAAAATGATTACTCAGTTTATATCTAACAAAGGAGAACAAATTTAAAAGGCAGTTATTTTCTTTAGGATACATTTTTTGCTTTATTTCTTGGTTATTGGGGTGGGGGATCCTTTTGATTTCAGTATGATGATGGCTCGATAGTTGGGTGTCTAGCTACTAACTGGAAGATCGGTAGTTGGACTCCACCAGCCCTTCTGTGGGATAAAAGGCCTAGCAATCTACTCCAGTAAAGATTCTAGCCTAGGAGGCCAAATGGGGCCGTTCTGTTAGGTCCTTTAGGGGTATTCACCACCACGAAGTCAATTCCAAGTCATAGTGACCCTATTAGATAGGGGTTCTATGTTGCCCCCTGGGTTTCCAAGACTGTAACTCTTCAGAGGAGTAGAAAGCCCAGTCTTTCAGCCCAGGAGCAGCTGTTGGTTTGGAATATCAGCAGCTATTCCAAACATAACCACTAAAGCGCCAGCACGCCATAAGGTCACTGAGTAGAAACCGAGTCAACTGCACCCAGCAGCAACGAAATACTAAGAGAGGCAAATATGTTCCCCTCTGTTCAATAAATGCCCTGTGCTTAAGACAATCTTTTCTAATTGATATTTAGTAAGTGCCAACAATATGCACAGGTGACTATGCTAGATAATAAGAATTACAAAATCAAATGTTATATTTGTAAGATTTTTGGAATTAGTTGATATCTTGTAGATACATCTGCCTTCTTTGTGGCATTGCTCTAGCCTCAGGATCATTGCTAAATTGACCCGTCTGATCTTGACAAAGGTGTCTTGGTGAAAGAGTGGGTTACTCATTGGGCTTTCGCTGTTTGGTCAGCAGTTTGAACCCAGCAGCCACTTAGAAGAGAAAGATGAAGCCGGCAGCACCTGCAAAGAGTTACAGTCTTGGAAGCCCTCTACAGGGTCCCTATAAACTACTCTCTCTCTCTCTCATCAAGTCAGTGCTGACTCATAGGGAACCCCTGTGTTACTGTTTACGGGAGTAGAAAGCCCAGTCCTTCTCCTGAAGAGTGCTGGTGGTTTCAAACTGCTGACCATGAAGATCGCAGCCCAACTCGTAACCACTGGACCACCAGTGCTCCTTCACTGTGAATTCGGATTGCCTCAAAGGCAGCCGCGTTAGTTTCCTGAGATCTTCTTGACAAGTTTGACTGCCCTTCTTTGCTTATATAGCTCCAGTAACCTTACAAAATTAATATTATTGACCTCTGTTTACATTCACGGATCATCTGACCGATGCATTTAAATTTTTTTCATAAAGCTCGGTTGGTATCCTTCATGTTCTCAGAAGATCTTGGGCACCAGATTGTGTACTTCATTGGGTACTCACTGATGATTTCCTCGTTTGCCCTTCTTTATTTCCAACCAGGAGTCAGCAACCAGTTTCTGTAAAGGATTAGAGTGTTTTGTTTGTTTGCTAAAGGAGCAAATTAAAAAAATAAATCTAACCAGATGATTTCTGTTACAAATAGTCCACTGCAGGCAGTACGTATACTAATGCACTTCTATATACCTTAATAAAACTTTATTTAAAAACAAAACAATGAGCAGATGGAAGTAGAAGTGGCCTCTGGACCATAGTTTATAGAAGCCTCTTCTAGACTAAACCTCCTTGACAGATATGATATACTTGACTTTGTGTTGTCAGTAGCAAGCATATTTTCCAGCAAGAGAATGTTGCACAATAAATGCTTATTGAATGAAAAAGGATTAGTGGGAGAGATAAACTAATAAACATTTATAATATAATGTGAGTCATGATGATTGAAGGATATTAGGATTCAAAGGACCTTTGGAAAAGAGCATGTAAATTTTATCAACATTGTTTTAGAACATAGAGTCTGGAGTCATTATATCTGAGTTCCAACTCTGTTACATATTAGTTGTGTATAAACTCTTAGGTGTGTAATGTTTAGTTATTTACTCCTCTTTCATTTAAAATGGGAAAAATAATAATACCATCAATCTCCTCAAGTTGGTGGGAGGATTAAATATTGAAATATACTTATAGTGCTTACAATAGTACTTGACATATAGTAGCTATATATGTGTTGGCTTTTATTACCAGTATTAAGATTATTGTTATTAGCATCATCAGAGGAGTCAGGAAAAGCTTTTCAGAAAATTGCATGTTTTAGCAGAGACTTGGAAAATGAAAATACATTAGCCATATTGAGAAGAGCAATTCTATTTTCTTTTTAAAAAATCATTTTATTGGAGACTCAAACAACTCTTATCACAATCCATACATCCATTCATTGTGTCAAGCACATTTGTACATTTATTGCCATCATCATTTTCAAAACATTTGCTTTCTACTTGAGCCCTTGGTATTAGTTCATTTTTTCTCCGCCTTCCCCCCTCCCTCATGATCCCTTGATAATTTATAAATTATTATTGTTTTGTCATGTCTTACATTGTCTGACGTTTCCCTTCACCCACTTTTCTGTTGTCCATCCCCCAGGGAGGGGGTTAGATGTAGATCCTTGTAATCGGTTCCCCCTTTCTACCCTACCTTCTCTCCACCCTCTGGTATCACCACTCTCAGCACTCGTCCTGAAGTGATTATCCATCCTGGATTCCCTGTGTTTCCAGTTCCTATCTGTACCAGTGTACATCCTCTGGTCTAGCCGGATTCGTAAGGTAGAATTTGGACCATGATAGTGGGCGGGGAGAAAGCATTTAAGAACTAGAGGAAAGTTGTTTCATCATTACTACACTGCACCCTGAAGGAGAACAATTTTCTAAGCCCTCTCTTCAACTGAAACCCTACCTATTATTCAGTTCTATCTATCTATCCTTCATCATCTCATTCCTTTACAAATATCCCTGAACATTGAAAACATTTAAGTAGTGGGTTAGGCAGGGTTCTCTAGAGAAATGAAACCAGGACACTTCACTTATGATTATAAGTGGATACGTTTCTATAGGAGGATACATTTATATAGTGAGAAGGAATATAACAGCTAATTAGTCCAGGGGGCTCTTTTCAACTCATGTGGAACAGTTAATATACTGGAAGTCCTTCAACTCACATGGGCTGCCAGGTCCAAGATCAAGGAAGCAGACAGCATTGTCCTCCCTGTTGCAAGGTAAGCAGAGTCTGCCCACAGGCAGCAAGCAGCAGGGTGGGTCAGCAACAGCCAGTAGTTTGGGAGCTTAGCGAAGCAGGCCTGGATGGGATATTGAACGTTAAGCATTGCAAGGCAACAGAATCTACCTGCCTCAAGCTCAAGCACTGTATGCACCAGCAGCATGGCAAAGCAGGTCTTGACGAGCCTCCAGCTCTAGGATCACGATTCATGGGCTGGCCTGACCCACAGGTAGTATAGCTCACAGGCTGAGTCAGAGAACCAGTACTCTCTGATCACCAGAAAGCAAGAGAGAGGGAAGCGGGCCTTGGAAAGCCATTTACCTCTTTGCCTTCCAATCAAACTGTGACCTGATTAATCCCATATGTTCCTATTGGCCAGGTTGGCACAATAAGCCTAACTATCACTAGTAGCCTTAAAAAACCCTGATTTGGGGTCACTTGCCAAAATACTCTGATTTATTTAGCCTGAGTAAATTTTGGACATCAGATTTTCTCCCAGTTCCCAAAGAGATTCATATAAATAATCATGACTGCGAATCATTGTTTTTTAAGACTTCCCTAAGTATTATAAGACTTTCCTAAGATGGAGCAGTTCTTTTTCAAAATCACTATAGGTTTTTACACATTTTTCATGATATTTATCACACATTACATGTAATTGAAATTATTCTCTTGCTCTTATTACCAACACCATCTGCTCAACAGATTACAAGGTTGCTGAGACCAGAATCTGAATCTCAGTCAATTCTATAATCCTCACAGTATTTAGGAGAAAATACGCACAAAAATATTTAATAAGTTAAAAATGACTTGAATCTTCTGGTAGGAGTCATGTTTCTTATTATCATAGTTGAAACATGTACCATTTGGCTAAAAGTTTAACTTGAGTAGTTGCTATTTAAAACATTATTTTGAGCTTTCTGGAAGCATGACAGAGGAGCCTATAGGGCATAGTGGATGTGTTGGGTAACTAACCCAGAGGCCAGCTAGTTTGAAAACACCAAGTTCTCTATCCTTGCTTCTCCCACAAACATTTACAGCCCCAGAAACCCAAAAGAACAGTTCTACTCTGCCCTATAGGGTTGTATAGGGTTGCCATGAGTCACAATTGCCCCACCTGTTATCTACCACTAAGGGCAACTGGAAGATGATGTTCCAGAAAAATAGACTTCTCATTGGGTAGCTCTAAGTTAGAAAAATAAACAACAGCCTTGAAGTATAGCCTCCTAGAGGGTCACCAGATAGGCCAAACAATGAAAGGTCTCTGGAAAGAAGGGTTTGATCGAGCGTCAACAGATTTCTGTTCCCTTCCATTGCTGTCAGACTGCTGGTTTTACTGTATTCATAGGTGTGGTTCTCAAAACGACCTTAGGGCTGGATTGTGGGTATAGGAATATTACACCTTGGAATTCAATTTTCTTTCCAGGATTCTGCACCACCACTCCTTTTAAAGTAAATGTTTCTAGATTACTGAAAACATTTTGTTAATTTTTAGAGTCTTGAAGATGAGTTGATTCTGACAGTTTTAATTTTCTCCTTTCTTTAATGGAGGAAACAACTTTCAGAAGTCCGTATTCTGCAATTCTTGCTGATGTTGTCCACACTTCCTTATCAAAG